GTAATCTGTGGTTAGAGCTTGATGTGTGGGTTTCTTGAAGTAGGCATATATCAGGATTTATTTAAATGATTAAATATTTTATTGCTTTTAGCATGGGAGCCAATCCTGCACATGATCCAGTTTAGGAATTTAAGTGGGGCAATGATTGAGGGTTTTTGAGATGATGTGTCCTGGTGAGTATTTGCCTTAAGTAATGTGCGTTTGATTGTGCAAGCTTGTGTGTGTAGAGGTTATACGCAAGTGAGTGTGTGTGTGTGAGGTTGCAAAGATCCTTTATTTTTGCACGCTGTCACTGGTTTTCATATGAGCAATTCAGAGCAACAGACAACAACAAAAAACAAATACAGAAAAACATATAGTGCGAAAGAACAGAGATAACATGAATTTGTGGGGTGGCTGTTCACATAGGAGACCATGGGGGAAAAAGTCTGTTAGTCTGTTATTTGCATGTGTTTGAGAAGGGAGGGCGCAGGGGAGGAGGTCCAAATCATGTTATTAACGTCACTGATGGGTAGGTGTAATGTAATGTGTTTGAAACCAGTGTTTTGAATCGGGGTCGCAGTAAAGTTGTCCTTCAATGTATAATTTGTCAACAAACAAATTTACATTGCTTTGCATTTCTTGTTTTGTCTGTGTTGCTTCACAGTGGGAATGTGGGAATTGGTCATTAAGTCCATAGTTAGAATGTTTCCGTTCGTTTGCTTTGTTTTTAATCAGGTCCTTGTGATTGAAATGTTAGAGTTTGGCAATGATGGGCTGTGGTGTTTTGTGGTGTTTGTTGTTTGTCCAAGAGGGTGATCTCGGTGGAAAGTGACATGCTGGAAGGTATTTTCAGCAGAGGGGGCTGTCCTGGATATTTGACGGTGGCTTGAAGCGAGTTGTTTGACAGTTCTAACTTAACAAGCAAATCCAGTTTATTGTTGATAGATGTGAGGACACTGACCTCGATTTCAGTAGTCTGTTGAACATTGTCTGTAGTAATTTCTTCTTTCGCTTGTTTGGGATGGATGACTTTTACAAAGGCGAGCTGGGAGCAGTTTCCATTTTGCACTGTTGGTTGCAGTAGTTCAGCTATTTCCTCCAGTATGCGTAAAAAGACTTCTGATTGTATATAGATTGAGACAGGGGTGGTAACCTAAGTTTGAGGTTTTTTTAAAGTCCCGTCTGCTTTTCTGATTAAAATTGTACCTGTGCAATCTAATGCAATCCAATGTATGCTGAGACTTTGTCAGAGAGTTTTAACAAATTTTTAAATCTGTAATCAGTGAAATTATACTAAAACTTCTGTTAAGTGTTTGTCCAACACTGCAGATCTTGCATGTCCAAATATTCTGTTAGGGGTGGAAAAATGTCTGCTGTGGACGTATGTCTTGGTGTTTAGAGATATCTCCCTGTGCAGTGGTCCTCAAGACTAGGTCTTCTGAACTCGTCAACTCCATCTCAAGCTGTTGTCTTTTAAGACACTGCTACTGCTTGCCTTAACAACATTTGGATGCTTTTCATCTTCCATCTTGCAAGGGAGAAAAACATGTGAAGGGGCTGGGCGATGGCACTTCACGATGCCTTTGTGAAAGAGATTGTGGTCAAATCCCTGCGACTACTGTGTATGCTGGGAATGTTGAGGTCTCTTATGCAGTTCTGCAGAAATCTAATACCATGGCAAATACCACGCAATAGAGCGAACAACGACAGCAGCCGCTGCGATGTATTGGCGACCTGTCCAGGGTGTACCCCGCCTTTCGCCCTATGTCAGCTGGGATTGGCTCCAGCCTCCCACGACCCTGTACACAGGATAAGCGGTTGAAGATGGATGGATGGATGGATGTACGACAGCAGCCAGCACAGCACTTCCAGACAGACATCCTGCTACTACATCTAACACCATAACAGCATATCTTGGAAAACTAAAGTAAGCTGAATGTCCATGGGCAAGTCATTTAATGTTACCTGACACAGAAATCATGGCTAGAATAGTGTTGTGTGGCTCGGTCCGAGCCACTTTGTTTGTTTCCCGTTTGAAGAGCCAGGACTGTGTACAAACAATGGATTTATTTCAGCACACACACTGAAAGGACAGCTAGCAGACCATGAGGACTTATTTGCTGAGTGTAACAAAAAGTCGCGTATTGGATTAGAATCACATACCTTACCTGCACTTTGAACTCTGGCTTGACTGACCTATGAATGGTAAGCTGTTCTCCATTAGTCTGCCTGTTGCCCCCTTTTTCAGTGTGTTGTTTTCAGCGATGCACGTCCCTCTGCCTCAGCCTAAAGTAAATACAACTAGTGAGGCAGGCAGGCAAAAGACCATGCGCAATACCCATATCCAAGAACATGTATTGCATTCTCAAGAGACCTGAGCATGTGAGGGGCCTGTGTTTATGTGTGTAGATGGATATTCAAGCCTTTAAAGCCTTGCTAGAGGGTGTGTGTATACTGTAACAGTAATATTGTGACAGCTTACACAGTCACATTTACATCCTGACAGGTAAATGCTGAATAGGTAGCTAACCTTGTACTCAATGGCAACAAAGGTGAGAATTGATGGCAGCAAAAAAAGTGATATGTAAAGCCAGCTTCATCTCAGATAGCTTAACCGGCCTCGGATTCTTTCTTTTATGTGCTGCTGGAACCTGCTGTAAACTAGTTTTCACTAAATCAGGTCAGTTGTAATTCACACAACCATCCGTTGTTACTTTTAATCCTTTCCTCTATATTAACAAATGAGAAATTAGCCACTCGAGTATTAGCCCTGAAGTATTATTTTCATAATATGTTGTTTATGGTTTACTGGTCTATATCCGCAAATTTAAATATGACTGGATCTATTGTTGAACTGAATGGGATATTGTATTTGGAATATATTCATTTTATGAAGAGAAGAAGTGATCCTTAATACCTGCAAGATCCAATTAACTGTGATGAGCCATTTTTGTGTAACCACTTTATACTCAACGTCACTTTCTGCCAGTGTTCACTGACTGTGAAAATGAAGCATACAATTATTGACTACACAGAAATCTTTATATAACAAAACTATACACTGACTAAAGTCTTAGCCATAATGCTCACTGGCAGCTATGACTGAGGACCATGTGCCTAATGAGTGTAGATTAACTGGCTTATACAAGGGAGATTGTTGCCTTTATCTATTTCCAAAAGAGTCAATACCTCCAGTTCTGTTGGCCAGTGCAGTTCAGCAGTCTCAGGGTACCTACAGCATGAGTTTGATCTTTGAATTAAATATAATATAGATACAGCAGGCTGGTCCTCTGTTATAGGGCTGTGATAGGCACTTTCAAAGGTCTTAGTGCAGAATATCCTGCACAGTTGAATTATCTGTTTTTAGCCTCAATACCAGCAAAGCAGTAGGGATGGCAGTGTCAGTTGGTCGAGCCACCACTTTGGTCCAGGCTGAAATATTTCGACAACTATTGGATGGATTGCAATGCAATTTTGTACAGACTGTTATGGTGTCCAGGGGATGCATTCTAATGCCTTTGATGATCCCTTGATGGGTTTTTTTCTAGCAACACCTGCAGGTTGACATTTGTTTTTCAGGGTGAAATGTCTCAACGACTATCAGATGGTTTCATTTGCCTTTGTCCAATACTTTGACTTATGACTGAGTACCTTCAAATTTGCTTATGCTAAGATGCTAAACTAAGATGGTAACAGTGGCAAACAATTATGTTTGAACTGCAGAGAAATGATAAACAGTAACATATATAATAAATACTTCATGTCTAAATATTAAGAAAAATATATTTATTACATATCTCTAGCTCATATTTCATGACTTTGCTTACCTATGATATCATAAAATCACGCAAGCCGATTAAGATGGTGACCTTTCTGCTTACACTACACAAATAGTCATACTACCATGCACATCTCTTAACACTTTCACACTCACAACATAATAAACAAGGACTACTGAAAGGAAAACCTAAAGTGTCTTAGTATGGAGTCAGGTCGCCACAAGCCTCCAGAACAGCTTCCGTGCTCCTTCTGTGCTCCTTGTCCATTGGAGGGATAAACACAATTCCTCCGCAAGATATACCCTCTTTTATACCACCTTTATTTAATCAGGTAATCTCATTGAAATCAATATCTCTTTGTCAAGAGAGACCTACATATAGCCAGACATAACAAAAGGACACATAGCATCAGAGACAGTCACAGACGTCACAAAATAGATTTGAAGATAAAAGTTGATATTATACCATTTGGTATTACGGAGATGGTGGTGGAGCGCACTGTCTCAGATGGTGGTCTTTAATCTTTCATAGGTGTTCAACTGGCTGGAGATTTTTGCTTAATCACTCATGTTACAGTGCTGTAGTTCACACATTATTAAATAATATGGTATCTTGCAACAATGATTAAGTCAATTGACTTCACAGCTTATGTGCTAATGATCAAACACAGTATAAATGCATAGACTATGAACACCCAGACATGGAACAAGTTCCTCCTTTCACTGAATGCTTTCAACCGTAGCTCATTGTCCATTAAAAAAATTCTATTATCTCTGACTTTAAGCAACGGCACATAGACATCTCAAAATTAACATCACAAGACATCAGTCTTGTAAGCCTTGCACAAAATGCTTAGCAATGGGCAGCTCATCAATGCATTAAAGAAATGTTCTGTATTAAGCTAAGTGCATGATGGGGACTGTGTACTTCTGGCACATTGTTTTTCTAGTTGATGCAGTGAACACAGGTCCTGGGACTCTCCTACTTCAAACCCTGGAATGCTTCCCTCTCAACATTCTGGGGCCTCCTGACTTAGAAATGAGGCACTGGTCCCCACATGACAAGAATACTAGTTCTTCTTAATGAGCCTGCGTCCTGGAGTGAGACACATTTTACACAATGTAGCTTCAAGATTGCAAAACCTCTTAGAAAAATGTAGCAACCAAACCCTTGTTAGACACTAAGCGATGAATAATAATAGAAAACAAAGAAAACACTGACAGCATTCATTTTTTCCCTGAAGTGATTTTATTACAAAGTTCATGAGGACTTACAGTATTACAAGAGAATTTGTCAACATGCGAAAAACAGAACAAAGCAGAACACAGGAGTTTAACAAACTGGTAAGATAAGACAATCCACTGTTCACAATAAACATAAAAACTGATTAAGTCCTCAGGAGGTGGGAGCCGGTGAATGACTACAGTGCAGGCATAGAACGGCCACATTCACACTGACTCAGCAAAGGTCAATCCAACCAAGGCAAGATGTGCACATCTCAAGAAAACATTTTACAATTTTTATATGCCATCGGCTTTTCTCAGAACTTTTAGAAAGCTTCACTTGTATGTACATAAAACTGTACAAAAACATGGCATCACAAGCATTTTTATCCTATATAAATATACCAACAATTAGGATAACAACTAGATTCTCTCTTGCAAAGACATATTTCCAAGGCAATTGTCTTTGTACTAGATGAACGGTGGAAAAGATGAAATGTTCAGTTAATTTCAGTTTGTTTGGGGGAGGGCCTTTTCAGTATGAACCAGCACTGTCATTTCAGAAAGTAACAGAAAAGAAAAAAGAGTAAACAGTTTCTACCAATTATCTTTGGAATTCATGCTAAAATCATTGCCTGCCTGACAGCAGACACAGGGTTGTGGAGATCTATGTACACTACACCACCAACAGATTTTTTTTTTTTTTTTTCACACAACCAGAAAGAAAAAAATCCCTTGCCAATTTCAGTACAGTAATTTGTCCATCTGTCCACAGAAATGATCACCATACAATACACACTACAGAGAGGCAAAAGATACTCAAGTGAATTCAACATTAAATCAATGTTAAGTACAAATTAAACATTATTCAACATACTTTTGAGTGTATTTAGGTGCTTCATGATGTCCTCTTACTTTATTCAAGAAGAACCATTCTGTGTTTGAGAGAGAAGTTAACACAGTTCATTCAGCATGAGTTCAAAAGAAAGGTCAAACCTGGTGATATATTGTTCCAGGGGTGAGTAGCAGGAGGTCATTATCAGCAGGAGTGAAAGAGTCCGACTCATTAAGACGGGGGGGTGTAGGCCCAGGCTTATTTTTATTTTGCAGAGAACTTAAATCTAACTCCTGCCATTCCATTTGGAGTTACCCCATTTACTTCCTGTATGGGTGATCAAAGAGACAAATCTGAAGATACATTCCAGATTATCCAAAGCGATAAGCGTACTTAGGCTGGAATCAGGTTCAAATTGAACCACAGAGATGATTCTGGATGCAAAGCAGTTGTGAATCGGAATTGAGTCAAAGCATTTAAATAGATAAAGTTGTGATTGAGGCTATGTGACATTGGTTTTATCACTCATTGCTATCTTTCTCACTTTTCATTAATTCCAGGTCAGTGATCTCACCCGCCGCTTTGAGTTCGTGAAGCGGCTATCCACAGCTCTGAGAGCGGTGCTTGGGGGAGCCGAGGGGGTTTAATCACAGTGTATCATGGCTGTTGTTTGAATTTTATTTCAGTCGCTAAATGGCTTTGAAAACGGCATAATGTGCTTTCTCCCCCTCAAGGCAGGATAATCGCCCACCTTATTTAATCATGGCCATGTCCAGTAATTTCCATATGTTTCCAGTTTAATTATTCTAAACACAATTTTCAATGGCAGCATGATGAGGCAAGTGCTGATAAAAATACCCCTTTTAACTGATTGTAGCTCTGCGGGTGGATTTGCATTATCTGGTAGGTGCCTTGTCCTGAGGGTGTGCTCACACATGCCCTAGCTCAGGACTCATTACTCACCCTAATTAGTAAATGTCCATTCTAGGCTGTTCCACCCTTACTCTCGCTATGAAAATACTCTGCAGAGGTGAAAGGTATCTACAAATCTAATCAAATCAATGTTTAAATCAAAGACATTGGCTAGCTCTACAATGTTGTAAGGCAGGCTAGTGTTGTCATCATTAACATCCAATTACTGACTAATACATAGTGTCCTTCAGACATCTCCTTCAGATTCACTTGGATAATCTTTGTAAAGATAAATGAAGCCCACGGGCATGCCCTATTTTTAATTCTCTGTTCAATAGCCAGAGAAGGGAAAATACCTAATAATTTATTAACCATGTTGTTCTGAATACATGGAAAATCATAATTAACAGCAATAATTGAGCCTGACTCCTACTATCTACAACTATGTTTAAGATTAACATTTGCAGACACCTTCCATATTTCTTCAAATGTATAATTGTTTTTTATACTTGAAGGTCGACACTGTTCTATAATTCCTTATTTTAGTTGGTGCACTGTGTATTGACTTCACCCCTTGTGATAACTGATACATTTAAAAAACCAAGAAATTACTCTCAACGTAGAGCAGTCGTGTAAATTTATATCAGTATTATATTAACTCAATCTCTCCAGTGGCTCTACATGCCTTTTCATGTAAATAGCTCACTATGCATTCACTAGAGCTGTAGAAGTTCTGATGAATTGTGAGGAGAAATGACTATGAGCTTTAGAGGAAAGGACTGTGAGTTACACATAGAGCCCGTCTGATTGTCACGATAGAGAAGAGCCTTTTAAACTGATTTCATCAACACAGTGAGTCACAAGGTTTTATATGAAAAGCCAATCACAATGTGTAGTGAGTCCTCGGCGTTTGGTCATTAAACTCCGGGGTACTGTGGCCAAGTCAACCGTTTTCATGATGAACGATAGGTCACAGTGCTGAGAGTCAGTGGAACATAATGTCAGTTTAAATGTTGCCAGACAGCTTTCTCCACCAGTGGCATTGCTCTACGGGGAGCAGAGGTAAAGGCCATTCTGCTATGATTAGGGGTCAGAGGTGCGTATGATTGTATGGAGCGGATAAATACCTACCACAATATCGAGCTCCACTTCTGGAGATGGTTTCAATCAAGTCTAAACAGCAGCAGCAAAGAAAAGCTTAAATATGCTAAGATTCTGAGGCAATTTTTTTCAGTTTATGCCAGACAAAAATATATGTAGAACACACCATTCAAAAGTATTTACAGAACTGTACATTAAGATATCATTTGATTGTTAGTCAAAAGTGTTATGTCTTCTGATAGGGCCTGACTTGCTGTCTATTAAATTATATCTAATAATGGCACAAGAGCACTGATCACAACTTTCAAATTCAAGAGATCACTTCACAGAATGGGACTTGGCTAACTACAACGATAATTAGTTACTACGAAAGTAGCAATTACCATCTGGATTTCCTTTTGATCTGTTTGAATTGTATTCTTCAGGATTTTGTATGAATAAATGAGTGAGTGCATCAATTAACTTTGTGGAATTCTTAATAAATATGCTAATAAATTAATAATTTAAGGAGGAAATGACAAAAAAACAAGTGTTCATGCCAGTGATTGAATGAGTCACAGCCTATTGTTACCTACAAAACGGGCATTGGCTTTAGCATGTGAACAGCCTGTTTCTCCTTCTGGAGTGGGTGTATCTTTTCTTCATTTGTGCACCAATCGGATGATGGTATTCCTCACAGGTAAATTTCTCTTTTTGGAGTGTGGGCAGAAGGGGAGGTGGGTGGGAACTCAGAGGCTACGCTCAGGGGCATCTCCTCTAAGGGGCAGTCCTGACTGGCGTCGTGACCGCTATTGGAATAGGCACTACGGGAAGGCGGAAGGCGCGGCCGATGCTCCTCACCACCCAGCCTGGCGTTCCCGTTTGCCAGGCGTCCCAGGCTCCCTCTCTCCTGGTAAGGCACGAAGGTGGAGAGTTTCGGGGGGTTCCTGGTCTTGCGGACTGGGGAGGGATGCCCGGGCATCCAGCAGGCGTCTGAGTGGCCCAATTCGCTGCACTCGGTTGTACAGTTTCCGGTCATTGCCACATCAGGGAGGGAGCGGATATCTGTGGGCAGGAGAGAGAGAGAACAGCACCATCAGAGAGAGCTTCATAGCGATAAACATTGGAAAAACATTTATATAAAAAAAAGTGGTAAAAAGGCATTTGTGAACCGAAATGGTGTCATCTGAAACCCCCCCATGAAACCCATCCCCCTCCTTGATGTCTTTGCAGCTGTTGCTAAGCAGTCAGCAGCAGTTGCTACGTAGCTGTTGCTATGCACTGTGTAATGAGCACTACTGTGTGTGCAGTCCACTAGTGAGACATTCAGGAGACGGCCCGTTGTGTCTGTGTCATTTGGAAGTATCCCACAGCAGTTTGTCTGGTATGTTTGTAACGTCACACTGCATTGTTAACATGTTCAACAGCAATGTATTGATTTATATAACATGGGACTTAGATGGTGTAGATGGTGTTCCAAATTTGTGCCAAGGTAAAAGAAAAAGACTGCAAGAATGGACAAATACTACAGACACACATTACAGTGTTTGGTTACAAATGGAATGGCTGAATCCCTTTGGGCAAAACCATTGTTGAATGAGTTATTGATTGACAGTGCTGAAATGAGTTCCCTGCCCTTGATTATCATCCATTTTTTATTCAACTGTTCCTAATTAAATAAATGGGTCCATGACCCAGTGACCTCATTTTAATGTACAAGCTGTGAAAGCTCCAAAATAAGTTTGCCTCAGCTATCGCTCAAGAGTAATGTACGGTTTCTAGAAGTTGCACTGCACTGAAGAACTCATGTATTTGTTTACCAGAAAAGTGCAGCTGGCAGCCAACACACTTGTTAAGCAGCCCACCTGTTGACAAAATAAACATACAGCCCAGATTTAATGGAAATACCACTCAATTTATCTTTGTTATCCCTTCAGACTCTGACTAGGACAGCCAAATCGATGTCTGAAGAGAAGAGCAGACAACTAAGATCGGTGAGTCAGTGATGTCACCCGCATGTAAAGGTTTGATCGCTGTGATAAATGCATTACTGTAATGCCTCAATGCTGTCCACACCATGAAAGAACGTGTCCATCACTACAGGGCGGTGTGTGAAAGAGAGTAAATGTATTTTATTTAGAGAAAGCGGAGAGCTCAGCGCTGCGCACACAACAAGCTGAAAGATGCTGCTGCATGTGAATGATGCAACCACAGGAGATGACGTATCAGAGGTAGTGGCAAGGGTTCACAGCTAATAGAGAAAATGCCAGCTTGACAGTAAGCCTATGAGACGTACCATCAGTATTGTACTCATGACCGGTGGCAAGATAATTATCCCACAAAATGTCAGACCTCTGAGGCTGAAAAAACTGCTTCTGGCCCACCAAGCCTTCAATCAATCAAAAGCCAATGTGAGACAGCTTGTGTGATGGCATAGCTTGACTTTAGATTTTAAACTGCTTAATAAAAATTATTCAGGTATTTGTTCTCATTTTATTTTCCTTATTTATATCTAAAATAGTATTTCTCATGGGTAATCCATAGTACAATTGTCCAATTGTTTTTTTAAAGAATGCATAGCTTGTTCTATTGTTGCCATTAATCTCATTGTTCCACTAATCCTAAATTGCTAGATGTTTAGGCTATTTAATACATTTACTTTACAAGTGAGCAATGTGCTGCCTTATTCATGCTCAGTTATATAATTATGCTTAAGTGGCAAAGTCTTTTCTCTGTTTACTAGGCCAATGTCAATGATTCTTTTCAAATGAATGAACTACACTTTTATGCCTGATTAAGAAAGAAGAAACTGAATCTCTGAAGCTCTATGAAAAGACAGGCAAGAGTGTGTGCCTGTGTGTGCAGTGCCTCATGCATGATGATTGGAGTTTCATTTTCTCAACTCCGCTAAGAGCGTTGTCTGTATGCATCACTGCAGCGAAATGGTCTCTTGCTACAAAAGATGTTCATGGGAAGGGAGTTGGGGAGAGGGTCGAGGAGTACGCTTCCAAGCACAAGCACAGTCGTGTAGGCATCTACTCCAAAAGGATTTCACACTTGATTAAAACCTCTCCACAGCTTCCAGGAGGTTTATGCCACACCAAGTGGCCTTGTGCAAAAATCCAGCGCATCTCCACAACTACAGAATCAGTGTACTGGGAAAAAAATGTACATTTACACAGGTTTTCACATGCCACCATTGTTTCGTTCTTTTCGAATTAGAATGTGCTTTTACATGTGAAATGGCGAATGCAGCTTTACCTATTTAATGTATCATTTCTCTCTAAACTCATTCAGTCTCACAAAAGAATGGATAAAAGACATAAAGGTAAACACTGATTGCCACATCCTCACTGAGTGTCAGGTTGGTAATTGACTTGATGATTTGGACTTATGTAACGACATGACAACTAAAAAGAAAACATGTAATGTAAAATGATACCATGCGACAGTAACAGGAATAAAAGCACATTCTGAACCATGCTCTTCGTCAAGGGCCAGAAAATCAGCAATGACAGCTAAATACACCGTCGAGCTTGCCAGAGTCTGCCATTTTCTTCCAACACTGCCAAAGCACATATCGCACGTCATCAAGAGAGAACATTGACGCTCTCACGCCAGCTATTTTAGTAGGCCATTACCTTGTGTGGTAGTGTTTTATCTGAATTTTACATGGTTTTATTTATAAAGTAGCTATGACATATTGTATGTTCTTAACAGACAACTGATAGGCATATTTTCAACTGCAGCACGGCGCGTTGGAGTAAATATTTCTACGTGCTGTCATTCTATGGAACATATAATTTCCAGTCACACGTGTCAGCTCGCTAAAGTCATGTACTCATCATGTAATAATAATCAATTGGTTATTGTGCCGTTATGTGTCATTTATGAAAGCACACGTTTTTTACATTTGCTTGCACTGACCTTTTTGTCACACTAAAACCTATCTCTACAAAAAAAATAAAAAATCAATACTGATAATTATACTTTTGTGTCTGCTTTTTGCTGTGGCTATTAGCCATCTGTAGCTGTAGCACCCACTTACAGTGTGGCAGAATACCGTCTGCTCTGCACATCAAAACACACTCCCACACTTTGCTGAAACGATCGTTTGAATATTTGGTGGACACGCGATGAAGTAAATGAGTCAACCATGGGGTGAAGGAGCAGCCAAAGGCAGGGCGGGAAAATCGGTATTTTCTCACCCACTCAAACCTGTTTTCACCTGTACCTATACCTGAAATAAATCTGCTCACAGTCTGGAACAAACCCTTTAGAGTTTATAGTCTTGTATGTCATGGATGGAGAGCCAAGGTGGACAATGGAGAACAGATGGGCAAACCACAGCACCATTATGCCAGTGGCTGGAACAGGCTGACTGGATTTAGAGAGCTTGTGATATGGTTTTGAAGAGCAGTGACTCAATGACATTTCTTACTCTGTGCACAGCAGTATCCTTTTCCTCTAGACTTGGAGAGAGATTGCACCTGTAGCTCTCTCCTTTTATATTGGGTCAGTCCCGTCTGCTTGCTTAAAGCAATATCAGGAAAAAGAGAAAAAGAAAAACAGTAATTTCCTACCTTCTACTACCTTCAGTACCACATCAGCGACTCATAGTGAAACTTAGCAAAGCTTCTAAAAGCACCTCCACTGCAGTAGCATAACATGCACTCCACAGTGCAGTTACAGAGTGGGGGTACACACAGAGCTTAACCCCCCGGCTGACAGATACATGTGAGGGGTGGGTTTGCATGCTGCTTGCATCAGGGTGCCAGTGGGAGGTGTTGAGTGTCTGAGGCAGGCGTCCTCATCGTCTGATCCCCTGCCCACGGGCATGGGGGAAGCTGCCTCTTCCTGAGATTTCACACTGCTCCTCTCTGTTTGATTGCAAATGCTGCCTCTCCCCACCGGCTGCTTTCCAGCATGTGCGCCACACCGCTATGATCGATGGCGAACAAATATGAGAGACCCACAGCTTATAGAGGGATAACGGGGAAAAACAGTTACTATCGTTTGGGAGTGTGTGAGTGATATTAATGGTACGTTTGTGGTCCCTGCAAACTGTTTATGTGGTAAATGACTAAAAAGTTCCAAGAAACAAAAGGGAAAAAAAGAAATATCCCACATCTGAGCAGACATTAGCGTCTGGTGCTGGCTATCAGTATAATAACTGGGTATGAATGTATTCTGTGGTTGTCATACTCCGTGAAGAAAAACAACAAGAAACCAGGGTTTTGTATTTCCTTAGCTATGACATGTCAAGCCTTGTTATTCAAGTGCTCAACAGTTTCTCACAGTAAGCAGAAGCTACCAAAAACAGTCCTTTTTTTTCTCTAGAGGGGAGCATTTTTAAGAGAGAAAAACTTGCTACAAGCACACAAGCATAGTGTTGACGCACACATTTTCCCTGCTCATTGTAATGGAATACAAAAGAACAATGGTGGAGTTTGTAACCTTAGACATGCACTTTCACATCTCATGAGCAACATTTTGAATGTGTAAGCCTGAAGCTTTGTCATGTGAGATGTGAGATAAAGCAGCAGTTAACCATTTAGTTACAATGTTGGTGTTTTATTCTGTAGTAATTTGTAGCATTTTTTGCAACAGCTGATATACTGATCATCACTTTATTTTCAGTCTATTTTAATTACATGACTATTGAATGTTTTTATGCAATATGTATTTATGTATGTATTTTAGTACCTATGTCTTTTGATAATTATTCTTGCTCATTTATGTTGCAGTAAAGCTCTTTGGCACAAACCGGGTTTGTTTATAAAGCACTCCATATGTCTTTAGTTTCATGAAAACAAAATTAAAAATACTTGAACGCATCACTTTGCACATACTACATACAAGATAATTTGGGCTGTAATTAGTTTAAATGGTTAAATGTTTTAGTACAAACACGTTAATCAATTCTCGATCAAACTGTCCTCAGAAGGTGAGGCCAGGATAATAATTGGTATTGAAGTTTAAGGCATGAGTCAAAGTCTCCTTCACAGATTCAGTAAGGTCTGAATTCCCGGTTTCCTGAGAAAGGCGAGCCTGTTGCTGACAAA